CTCCCTGCCGCGTGCCGTGCCCATCCCCCCACCCTCCCACTCACTTGCTGGCTCCCTGAGCTGGAACAAAACCACCTGGGCGCAGCCAGCCACACTGACCTGCAGCCTCAAGTCTTTAGCTGGTTAATGGCAGCCTCTCCCCCTTGGCCTTGGGAACAGCAGCCTCCACTTAGACTCCAGGCCCCCCTTCCCCTCTGGGGGCAAACAAAAGGGAAAATCGAGGGGGAGGACTAGAGAGTGAGCAGAGAGGAAAGGAGATGCAGGAAGGAGGCGGTGGGCGACCTCCCACGAGCCCTGCCTCATGCCAAGTCCTGACCGCCCCATCAGGAGCCCCAGGTTGCGTCATTCCCTGAGCCCTCTCCTGGACTCTGTTCTCCTGCCTGAAAATGCAGGAGGAGGTCTCCATCGTTCCTTCCAGCTGAGCCAACACTCAGTCTGGTTCTACCTTCTTTGGACAAAAACATATGACAGGGCCAGGCTGGGGGCAAAGGGGGCCTGAGGCTCTATGTGCTGCAACTTTGGATGGGTCAACAAGCTAGAAAGAATTCTGGGTGTAGAGTCCCAAATTTGGGTGACAGTCCCTGTGCAACCTTGGACAGGGTCATCACTAGCCCATATGACACTTTTAAGAAGATACTCCCTGGGCAAGGACACATGACTGGACTTCATCCCCACACAACCTTCATAACCATACTTGGTAGTCCTAAGCTTGGCAGGTTTCCTCTCTGAACCTCAGTGTCTTCATATGCAAAACAGGGACATCAGTCAGCCTCCGGAGAAGCCAGGCAGGGACCTCACTTTTCTCCTTTGCCCCTTCATCCCCAGGGCCTAGCACAGAGCGGCACAGAGAAGGCACTCAATTAATGGTTGTGCGTAAAGGAATGAATGGAGGGATGGCTAGGGGAAAAGTAAGCTACAAACTATTAAGTGTTATACTGGTGGCAGGAATTATCACCTTGGTCTGAACCTTCCCACACACTGTCACCCAGGAGGACTGGGACTGGTCAGGAGCAAGGAAGTTGTGGACTTAGCAGTTTAGGGACAGGAAAAGGCATTAAATGGGGACTCAGGAGACTGGCTATAATGCCCACTGTGGCCATACGCACAGCCCTTCGCAGTTTGCCACAAGCCTTCACCTCCACTACCACAGTAAATATGAAAAGAATAGCCCTGGCCGGTGTGGCTCAGTTGGTTGGAGCATTGTCCCATGTACCTAAAGGCTGCTGGTTCAGTTCCCAGTCAGGGCACATACCTAGGTTGCAGGTTAGATCCCCAGTCGGGGCACGGTACAGAAGGCAACCAATCTCTCTCTCTCTCCCCTCCCTAAAAATTAATAAGTGTATCCTTGAGTACACTTATTAATGAATTCATTATTTTAAAAATGAATAAGGGCTGTCACCTGTGCCCAGACCTGTGAATCACCTCTTCTGACCCACACCAGTGGGAGGTGAGTATTAATCACTTCCTTTTCCAGACAAGCACACAGAGGAGGTCCAGTGACTTGTCCAAGGTCACACAGGTAGAATAAGTAGCAATGGACTACTCTCAGACCTGTGCAGTCTCACTGGGCATCATTATCCCCATTCAACAGATGAGGAAACTGAGGCCCATAGAAGTTTGGTAATGTAGCCAAGGCCCCACTGAAGGGTCATGTCAGGGCTTTGGGCCCCCAGCAGGGGTGTTTCCTGTGTCTTCACACACACCCCGCCTTAGTTTCCCACTTTGGGAGGTGGGGAGAGGGCCCCTTTTCTCTTGCCAGGGGGAGGGGCCAGTGCCTCGGGCTGAACCCTGCCCACCAAGCTGCTTTGTCCTGCTGTACAAAGAGCCCTTGCTTGGCATTCGAGGCCTTTGTGGGCCACGCAGCCCGGCGGCACCCCCGCCTGCGTTATCAGCGCAGAAAGCGTCAGCCAGCACTGGCGGGGCCTCTCTGGGCTGCCGCCCGAGACATGTGTTGGACACGGGCCTTTCAGGCCTGGAGCTGCCACACAAAGGCTGGGGAAGAAGGCAGAACAAAGGGCTTTTTCACTGGGCAGCTGAAAGCCGAAGATTAGTTCCTGCGTGCTGTGCAGGCTGGGCGGGAGGGGGGAGCCAGTGGCTGTTCCCCCAAGCCCTCTAGATACAGCATCACTCAGCCGAGTCCCTGGTCTGGGGCTTCCATGCCCAGGCAGCCAGAGAGAGCAAGCCAGAGCCCATCCCTTCTCCCCTGCTCAAAATTCCTCTTGGCCCCCAGCACATGTCAACTCCCTAGGTCCTGTGCCCTGCGTGTTCTGATGCCTAACTCTCCCCCACTTCCCAGTTCTAACCATTTTCCATTTCCATTTCCAATTCTCACCACCTGCCTTTGCACCTTCTGTTCCCCCTGCCCGGTAAACAACCCCACCCCCTTCTCAGGCCCAATTCCAGGGTCACTGCTTATGGAAAGATAAGCATCGAATATCCAGGGAGTGCTAACTCTGTCAGTGGCTCTGCCTACTTCCAGCCCTTGCAACAACTGTTAGCCCAATTACCCAACTGAGGAGACTGAGGCTCAGAAAGACTGAGGGCTGCCAGTGGTCACCCAGCAGGTACCCAGTGCAGCTGAGACAAAAACCCAGGTCCCTTTCCACTCTTCCTCTGTTGAAAAGGGTTTCTCTGCTCCTTGTGTCTCCCAGGCAGGTGGTCCGTCTTTGGGGTAGGATGGCTGGGGTGAGGGGACCTGGGCACGGGTTCCATCTGATGCTAGGGCACCTTCAATCAGCCCCACCCTGCCTCCATCAGGTACGCCATTGACCGAGACTCAGATTTGGACCAGATCTTTGATATCGATGCAGACACAGGAGCCATCGTGACAGGCAAGGGACTGGACCGTGAGACCGCCGGGTGGCACAACATCACAGTGCTGGCCATGGAGGCAGGTAAGCTGGAGGGGAGGGGTGGATATGGAGAGAAGGGTGAAGGCTGAGGGGTGGGGCTGAGGCAGGGCAAAGAGGAAGGACCCTGGCAAAGACGGCAGGGTGGGAGGAAGGCAAAAGCCAATAGGCAGGAACAGAGAGATCTGGAAAGGATCCTAGGCCAAAAGAGCAGGGCCAGTCTTGAGGCTGTTTTCTTCCCTCACCATTTATTGAGCACCCACTGCATACCAAGCCCTATTTTAGAAGCTGGGGATACAGCCCTGAACAAGAAAGAAAAGCTCCTGTCTTCATGGGGGAAAGCTAACGGGTCAACAAACAGAGAGAAAGGGCATACATCCTGTCAGGGGAAAGAAGAAAGCAAGGGACGGGGGTGGGGAGAAAGAGGGTGTTGTTTCTCTTAGGAGAAGGTCTCTCTGAGAAGGAGACATTTCAACAAAGACCCCAAACCGAGGGAGTCATGCCCACATCTGAGGGAAGAGTGTTCCAGGCAGAGGGAACAGCCAGTGCAAAGGCTCTGAGGCAGCATTGCCTTGCCTGTTGGAGGAGCAGCAAGGAGGCCAGTGTGTAGTGAGGGGCAGAGCGGTCAGTTATTGTAGGGTCTTTGGCCTTTACTTCAAATGAGGTGGGAGTTGCTGGGGGGTGTTGAGCAGAGGGGGGACGAAGTCTGACAGGATACCTCTGACTGCTGCATTGAGAATGGAAAGCAGGGTCTCGGCTAGAAGCCAAATGCGTGGTGCCGGGAGGACAGGACAAGATGATGGCCTGGCCCCGGGGCAATAGCTATGGAGGAGGTGAGAAGTGGTCAGCTTTGAGAGACAGGATGAAGAGAGAGAGCCAACAGGGCCGGCTGATGGGATGACATGGAACCAAGAGATGGAGAAAAGTCAAGGAGGACTCCAAGGTGCTTGGCCTGAGTTTCTGGAAGAGTGAAGAGTGTGTGTGTGCACACGTGCGCGCGTGTGTGTATGCGCATGTGTGTCACAGGCACACTTTGGTACAGCTGGGGAGGAGTGTGAACTGGGAGAGAAAGGAGGGGGCGCTGAGACACGGGGTCCGGATAAGTAAGGCCATTGAGGCGAGGAGCTAAGAGCACAGGGATTCATGGAGCATCGGGAGAGGGGAGAGTCAGCTCCAGGCCTCCTCCATAACCACAGCAAGGCTGCCTGGACCTGCTCTCCAAGCTCCCACACCCTGGCAGCTCCCAGGGTCTCAGAAGCCAGCGGAGCCGCCAGGAAACAATCATGACGACAGGAATACTCGGTCTCTGAGCCTCAGGCGGGTGATTTTCAAACTCCCCTCTGCAGCACCGAGGCCCCAAGCCCCCCCTGCCCCTGTGAGCCCCCCGCCAGCCTTCCTTCTCCTCCTTCTGCTGGTGCCTTCCCACTTTGCAGGCCCCACCAGCCCATCCCAGGGCTGGGGCCGAGGAAGTCCCTAGGCTGAAGTTCCCTTCGTCTCTTTCAACTTCAGTTTAAAAGAAAATACAAAGCTGGCTCAGACCTCAGTGCCTGCTGCTCCCAAGCCTTTGAATCCACTCTGCCACCACATGAAAAGAAGATAACAAAGGTGGCTGGAGAGAAAGTGGCAGCTGGACTGGGGGGAAGACAGCTCCCCCTCTTTGCCTCCCTGAACCTGCTGCCTGAGCAGCCAGGGGAACTGGCCTGGCTGCTGGGCAGAGATGCCTCCTCTCCCTACCCGTAAATACATCCCCTCCAGCAGCCTGACGTCCCACCACAAGCACATCCCTTCCCGGGTTAAGCGTTGTGCTTCTACCCAGTGGGTCTCTTTCAGAAACAGCTAGAGTGGCATACAAAGTCTGCAGCGCTGCCATTCCACAGGAAAGACAATGGGGGGGACTCGCCCCCATAAACATGTTACAGTGTTTACCTAATACGTATTCGGGGCTAGTCATTCCCTAGCACATACTTTTATTGAATCATAATCAGTAACAGATTCAGCACCCATTTTACTGTTGGGAAAATCGAGGCTCAGAGAGTTAGACTTGCCCAAGGATGTACAGTCGCAAAGCTGGGACTTGGACCAGATCTACCCCGTTCCCACCATAGTATTCCTGTGTGGGCACCCTTTTCCTGGTACTCCCTGCTCTCTGTGCCCTACCCCTGTCCTACCCACCAGTCTCCAACAATGGCCATGAGGAAGAGGAAGACTGCTCACTGGGCTAGACACCCCCACCTCTGAGCTGCATCCCACAACCTCTGCCCAACCCTCACCAGGACATTAAGCCCCGGGGAAATGAATGTTCCTACTTCACAGTGCTGGTGGGAGGATTACAGGACTATGCAGGGAAGGAACTTAGTCTAGTACTTAATAAGTGCTCAGTTAGTGGTGCCTATTGATCTCGACTGTGCACTTGACTTAAGCACCGACTCTGTGCCAGACGTTTTATAGTCATGTGCTCATCAAATCTTCCCACCGAAGAGGTGTCGATTCTGCTGTTATCCCCAACGTGAGGATGCGGAAACTGAGACTCAGAGAGGTGAAGTCATTTGTCCAAATCTCCAGCCCCGGCCCGCCTGACTCCAGAGCCCAGCTCTCACCCAGATGCCCCTCAAGCCATAATGCCTTGGTGCCCGGCATGAAGCTAGGCGTGTCACAAACAGTTCACCCACTCCAGGTTCCCGTCATCTCCAAGAGACAGGACAAAATTATTATCCCCACTTTACAGATGAGGAAACAGAGGTTCAGGGGGGGACAGTGATGGCACTAAGGTCACAGAGCAAGTCCGTGTGGGGCCAGGGCTCCACCCCACACCTCCTGCATCCTGGCAGCCTGCCTGAGCCCCAAGTACAATGCCCACGGGTCTGCCCTCCTGCGCCTCGCGCTAAAGCATCCATTTGACTTCCACAGAAGCAGGGGATGCTCAAGGGGTCACCACGGCCCCACCTGCTCCAGGTGTAACAAACATAAGGTGACAAGAATCAGAGGGGAAATATATATACACAGCGCAGAGCTCCGCGAGCCCCTCTGAGCGCGCCGCCTGTCACACTGGATTACCTCTAGACTCCCAAGCCACTTAGTATGCCGTCTCCCCTCTCCAATCTGCCCATGCCGACGCTCCTTCCCTGACATTATCTTTAACGTTTTGTAATCATGAAATATTAATGACCGATATTGAATTTAAAGTACAATTTGTGTCTGAATCCTTCGGTGGAAAGGGCAGTTGTAAAGGGACAGCCTTCAAAGAGACTGGGGTGGGGACAGCACTGGGGTTGGGGTTTCGAGGGGCTGCATCCGTCTCCCTCCTCCAGGGTGGGCAGTTCCTCAGCCGGTCTGGAGGGGTGGGATCCATGCCCAGGAGAACCAAGCTGTCACCAAATTAGCCAGAAACTTCCCCATCTGAGTCACCCCAGGCCAAGTCACATCTCACAGCACCCTGATTTTTCCTGTAATGCCACAGAGCATTGTTATGATTTCTATATGGATCCTTGGGAGTATTTGGTTCATCTCTCTTCCCCAGGAAACAATACCTTCCACGGGGGCAGGGACTCGTCTGTGTCTGCAGCATTCACACCAGGCCAGGCATGTAGTAGGCATGTTGAATATTTAACGAATGGATGGCTACATGGGCTTGTCCCCCAGTTAGGACAGAGGGTGGCAGGATGGAGGGAACTGGCTGTCACTGCTTGGTCCCAGCTGTGTGAGTTTGGGCAGGTCACTCCCTCGCTTGGCCTTCATTTTCTCAGCTATGAAATGGTACCGTATTGGACGAAGGTAAGGGTCATAACTATTAATGACAGCCGTTTCTATTTATTTGAAGCTTATGATATGCCAGATGGCACGCTGAATGCTTCTATCATGCTGAGTGCTTTACATAAAACATTTCCTATTGTATACGTTAGAAATCATGCATGTAATGTGCCTAGCACAGTTCCTGACACACAGTAGGTGCTATTCACAACCAGAGAAAGAATCTGAGGGGACAGGGAATGTTGGAGATGGTGGACTCCAGCCTCCCCATCCCCACCCCGTTTCATAGATGGGGAGACAGCCCAAGGAAGGGAAGCAATTTGCCCAAATCCACCGATAAGGTGGCTTTCTGACTTCCAGTCCAGTGCTCCTTAGGAGGACAGCAGAGGGGGATCTAAGGGGGCTGGAGGAAGAACCAGGGATGGGGTGAGGGGTTCCAGTGGGTTTCAGTGGCAGAGAGTACTTTTTCCTCTAAGGACAACCCGCCCCCCCCATGCCATGGCTACCCTCAACCATTGTTTTCTGAGGGCCCCTATTACCCACCTGGCCAGCGCTGGGCACTGAGATCTGGTGGTAAACAGGGCCACTGACCTTGGGAGCTCATAGGTGGGCAGGGGTAGACATGTCAACAGTGAGTGGAAGTAAGGGGACAGTGGGTACTGGGAAGGAGCAGTGAGGGACTTGCCCAGCCAGAGGGAAAGAGATAGGAAGGCTCTTCCAGAGGGAGTGACATCTGAGCTGGGTCTCCAAAACTGAAGAAACCTTTCTGAGCAGAAAGGGGCAGCTGAGTGCTCCCAACAGAAAGACCCATGTGTGCAAAGGCCTGGAGGCCTGGGCAGTCCAGTGCTCATTCTGAGAAGTGCTGGGGCTGGAAGGTGGCTGGGGCAGGCAAGGCGAGCTGAGCATGCAGAAGCTCACTGGATGTCCTGTGAAGAGCCGACAGCTCCTGGAGACGACAGGGAACCAGTGTAGGTCTTTGAGCAGAAGAGTGACATAGTCAGATGTGCGGTCCCCAGCATTCACTCTCAGGTTCAGAAAGGAGGGTAGACAGGAGGCGACAGGCCTGGAGCAGAACAGATGGGAGGCTGTCAGGAGGATCCGGCTTAGACGTGTGCTAGGCACGCAGGGCAGGGCGAGGGCAGGTGGGGGAAGCGCCAGGGAGGCTGAGTGTGGGCCAGAGGTTTGGCACAGCATCACCAGAGGTGTGTAAGTCACACCTGGGCTCCTCTTGGACTACTTAACCTCGGGATCCTCTACCACCTCAGCTGCCTAACAGATGCCAACAGGAACAGAGACTT